CACGTCAAGTCACAGCTGATCCCCCTGAGTCAAGTCAAGTCACAACTGATCTTCATGAGTCAAGTAAAGTCACAATTGATCGTCATGAGGCAAGTCAAGTCACAGCTGATCTTCATGAGGCAAGTCAAGTCACAGTTGATCGTCATGAGTCAAGTCAAGTCTCAGCTGATCTGCCAGAGCCTCGTTACGGCTCAGCTGTTCATCCAGAGCCTCGTCACGTCTCAGCTGTTCGTCCAGAGTCACGTCACGTCACAGCTGATCTTCTAGAGTCTCTCCACATCTCCGCTGTTCATCCAGAGTCATGTCGCATCACAGCTGATCATCCAGAGTCATGTCACGTCCTGTCTGTTACACCCAGATTATCAAGGTCAGCCCTTCGGTATCCCAGTCTGGTATCCAGTGTGAGGGATGCACCGCTGGTGTCTGCACGCGCAGCTGGTATCCCCAAACCCACTCACTCTAGCCCTCCTGTTCCTGAACTGATTCCCCTGTCTGAAGCTCTTCCCATGATGGGAATCACTTTTTGGTGTGTTTGGGCTGCATACACTACCACAGAACTTCCAGAGATGGCGGTGCTCGCTCCAGGTCCTCCAGAGGTGGCGGCTGATGCTGTAGAACCCTCCGAGGCAGCGGCGCTCGCTTTGGCTCCTGGTATGGTGGTGGCGCCCAGCAATACACATACAGTCTGTCCAGTCATGGTCAAAAGGACCGTTGCTGAACTCTGTACCTGTCCTGTTAAGGAGAATGTTAATGAACTCTCCCTGTTTCCTGCTGGTATTGCTGTAGAACCTCCAGAGGTGGCGGCATCCGCTGCAGAACCTCCAGAGGTGTCAGTAGTATCCGTTTGTGAACTCTCTGCCCGTCCTGTCACGGCTATGGAGGACGTCTGCAAACTCTCTGCCTGTCCTGTCACGGCTATGGAGGCCGTCTGTGAACTCTCTGCCCGTCCTGTCAAGGCTACGGAGGCCACTTAGGAACTTTCATCCTGCTCTGAATCGGCCGAAGAGGCCTCTCCCGAACTCTCTGTTTGCCCTGTCATAACCAAGAAGGTCGTCTGTAAACTCTCTGCCTGTCCTGTCCCGGCTATGGAGGCCGTCTGTGAATTCTCTGCCTATCCGGTTACGGCTAAGAAGGCCGTTTCTGAACTCTTAGTCTGTCCTGTTCTGACCAAGGAGGTCAGTTCTGAATTCTCTGACATTCCAGCCACGGTCAAAAAGGCTGCTCCTGAACTCTCTGCTCACCCTGTTATGGATAAAGATGCCATTTCTGAACTGTCTGCCAGTCTTGTTACGGCCGCTGAGGCCATTGTTAACCTCTCTGTGCTCTATATTCCAGTTCTGCCTGATCCGCCTTGGTGGTATCCTGCACCATCAGCTCCGCCCTGGTGGTCTTCTGCTCCGCCTGCTCAGCCATGGTGGTCCTTAGCTCTGCTTTGGTGGTCTTCAGCTCTGCCCTGGCTCCCTGCTCTGTCGGCTATGCCCTGGTTCACTGCAATGCCCTGGCTCTCTGTTCCACTGGTTCTGCCTTGGCTTACTGCTCCTCCCTGGCTCCCTGCTCCGCCGGCTTCACCCTGGCTCTCTGCTCTGATGGCTCCGCCTTGGCTCACTGCTCCGCCTTGGCCCTCTGCCCTGCCAGTTCCCCCTTGGCTCACCTCTCCGCCGGCTCTGTCTCAGTCCCCTGTTCCTCTCATTCCTCATGGACCTGGCCGCCTCCGTTCCACCTCCCTCCTCGATTCTGGTCTGTTCATGTTAAAGGAGCGCACTCCATTCTGTACCTTGCCATTCACTCAGGACTCCATTTCCCATAATCATTTGCCCGGACTCATCAAGTGCATCAACGGTCTCTCATCAGATCTCATCATCAGTTCACAGCTGTCTCACATTAGTAGGAACTTATTATTGCACCACACCTGTTTCCTATCAGTGACACTATAAAGGTTGCACTCAATCACACACACACATTGCTGATTATTGTTTAGCCTGTACCCTGTTTCGAGTCTCTGTGTTTCCTTGCCTTGCCTTGCCTTCTTGTTTCTTGACCTTGGACTGTTTATTGGATTGCTCTTTTGTCTCGCCCTGGATTGTACCTGTTTGCTGGTGTTTGACCCTGCCTGTTTTGACCACTCTTGTGAGTAGAGTAAAAGCTGCATTTGGATCCTCAACTCCGTTGTCACGCCTCCCACGTTACAGCAAAGGCCTGCAGGACATATACTTTAAGCTAGGAAACACTGTGATTTGAAGCCAGGATCTGCTGTTGATAAGACAAGTGTTTTAACTAGCCAGGAGCGTTTCATTTCCATATGCCCTCTGATGGCCATGATTGCTGCCTCTCATGTCTGGGCAGTAAGCATGCTGGGACCGCATTCATGGATGATTTGTGTACATATTGTGAGAACATAACCATACGTCGATCTCCGTAGTCGTCACCACCGGTGTGTCCTTCAGCAAGGCTCTTTACTCCAGGTGGCTGCTTGGGGATTGTGGTCCCTGTAATAAGAGCACTGTAAGTCACTTCGGATAAAAGTTTCTGATAAATGTAAATGTGATTTTTGTAAATCCTTTTTTGTGTCTTTGGTACAAACTCTCAATAAAGCTGCTTATTTCTTAAAGTTTATTTCTTCAAGGTACTACTTTTTCTGTTAGTTCATCCAAACATATAAATTCAGTCATTATTTACTCGCCTCCACACTGTTCAATCCTTGGGGTATTTTCTTTTTTTTTCTGAACACAAAAGGTGATTTTGGTCAAGTGTGTCCTGCTGGTTTCTGTTCATACAATATCATTTGATGGGAGACTGACTTTCAGAAGCTTCATGACATTATTTAATGATGCTTTTGAAGCTTCTGAAACTCGGGCTCCATTGACTGATG